AATGAGAAAAAAGTCCTGGACTTCCATCAACATTAAGTGACTGTATTAGGTGTAGATTGTTGAGACAAGCTTCAAAATTTTCATTAACTGCACATCAAATTGCTGCAGACGCAGGTGTGATTGCTAATTTACGTAGAGTTCAGCGAGTTATTCATAAAGCTTTTCACCTTTCATGCAAAAAGCTTCAGCAAAAACCACCTTTGACAACAAATCACATAAATGATCAAATAACTTTTGCAAAGGACCACGTAGCATGGAAAGAAGAGTGGCAGCAAGTAGTATTTTCTGACAAAAAACAATTTTGTCTTGATGGGCCGGGTAGATGGAATTATTATTTTTACGATTTGAGTAAAGAACCAGTATTATAGCAACAACGTCAAATGGTTGGTGGTGGTGTAATGATTTGGTGTGCGATTGGGTATCATGGTAAATCAAAAATTAATTTTATTGACAGAGAATTGAAGGCTAAGGATTATCTTTTAAATGTTCAAGAATTTTTAAGAAGTGAAGCATCTGTCATAGGTGGCGAAAATTGTTTTTAAGCAAGATGATGCTAGCATTCATACAGCTAAGATGTTAGAGGAATATTTCAACAGCAATAAAATTGAAACATTGAAGTGGCCAGCTAGATCTCCAGATCTGAAAATTATTGAGAATGTTTGGGCACAGCTGTCACATATAGTGTTTGAAGGTGGTAAATAATATAGTTCACTAGCTGTCTTGAAATCATCCATCACATCTACATGGGATGCAATTGATATTTCGTTCATAAAAAGTTATATAATTCTTTACCTTCTAGAATGATTGAAGTGATTCAAAAAAATGGTAAAAGTACCCACTATTGATTTTTTTAATCAATGTAAGTCCTCCAATAACATTATCCAATACTACGTTTAAAATTTGCTTTCGGAATTGGAATTCTAAGAGAGATTCGCCTGCATCACTCTATTTACTCACATTTTTATTGTGGAATTGTTTTCTGTTCCTAATCAATTTTATTTCTATATCAAAGCTAGATGCAACAAGCTTTGCTTTATTCTGCATTGCTTTCTAACTATCATGAATTGCTATTAATTAACCATATATACAATCGATTGCTAAATTAGCTTCTGCTAAGGTTGCTTCTCTTTATCGTGCTTGCCATTTCCTTACTTCTGATTCCATTCTCTACCTCTACAAATCTCTTATTCGTCTCTGTATGGAATACTGTTGTCATATTTGGGCTGGTTCTTCTAACGATTCACTTTCTCTTCTTGACAAGGTCCAAAAACGCATTGTAAATGTTGTTGGACCTGGACTATCTGCTAAGCTTGAGCCTCTTTCCCATCGTCGTAAAGTTGCATCTCTTTCTCTTTTCTACAAATACTATCATGGTCACTGCTCAAAGGAGTTATCATCTCTAGTTCCATCAACTAAAATTCATTCTCGTTTTACTCGTCATTCAGCTAAGTCTCATTCGTTTACTGTATCTGTCCCTGCATGCTCTAAAAACTTTTATTCGTCTAGTTTCTTTCCCCGCACTTCAATCCTTTGGAACTCTCTCCCATCTTCATGTTTTCCTGACTCATACAACCTTCAACTTTTCAAGTCTTCTGTCAACCGTTTCCTCTGTTATTTTTATTTTCCCATTAACTCCCAACTTAATAGTGGTTGCTTGCAGCCTTGTTGGGAGTAAATGCAAATAAAAAAAAAAATTATGAAAGTAAGTTTTCTATATTTGAAACTTCCGTATCTAAAGTTACGTTACTGGCTTGAATGACTTTGTTGCAAATATCAATAGGAATTAATATTCTGTGCCACACAACTGACATTATGATGCAGGTAAAGGTACTGAAATAACAAATTGCTCTAGGAATCTTGTTTCTAGTTTTTGAATTAATATTTAGCTGGAGCAAGTCTTCCAAAGCCAGCTTTACTCCTGGAAGGAGAGCTACAAATTTTGGTTTGTAGCTCAGCTTTAAATGGACATATTTGGTGCATTGTCATAACTCTGAGCCTTACAATCAGCAAGTAAAACATTACTAATGTTTTTGTAAACATTTGAGCAATTTCAGAACATTTTTGTCACTACAATCAACAAATTTCACAAATGTCACGTAAAATAAATGTTGTTTTCTCAACATGTGATGAATCCGTTGCAGAATCTACATTTATTGCGTAGTACTTTGCAGAATGTCTCTCTTTCAAAACATGCTGCTTAACAAGATCATAACATTATGCAATAAGCTCATTTTAGAAATCATTTGAGAGGTAATATACTTGCAGTCTTTTGTCTTTTTTTTGTGTGACTTAGCTACTTTTAGAACGTGTTCCTTTAGAATAGGGTCTCAGTTAGAAAGAAACTCCATCTGACCTAAAATGTTTCTGTTATTTGAGTCACCAATACATTGCAAAAATCCCTGAAAAGCAAAGCTGCGTTCTCCTAAAAAAAGGATAACATCAATAATTCTTCTCAAAACTTGAACATTTTTCCGATTCCACTTAAATTGATAATTTAATA